AAGAAAATATCGGATTTTCTTGGAAGCATGCTGATATTCATGGTTTATTACAGAACTGATAACACTACATTTTCACTAAAGAAAATATCGGATTTTCTTGAAACTTTACAACTTTTTGACTAGCTCATCAACAAGTTTTCATTACAAATTACCGCTTATGAACTCACCAGCTTTATGCTGATATTTTCAAACTGCTTGTATTCTCAGGAAATCAGTAGACAGGTACTTGCTGGATTTTGAGGAACTGAAGCGTTAAGAGTTTTTAAGTTTTTACTATACAAAACTATTGGATGTAATTTAAACTAAGTTTCAAACTGATGTAAACATCTTTATTTAAGTATTCACTGTAATGGTTGTGTTGCTATGATTGCTGTTATTCATTGGTTGTGATGCTATACATGACGTCCTCCGCCCCGGAACGCTTCCGCATCGGTTTCGGGGTGTGACACCGGTTTTTTTCCGGTCCGGTCCGGTCCAACGGGTCATATGCTCATCCCTATTTGAGAGTTGTGTAATGAGGTTCTCGTGGATCATGCATATACAGACAGATCTGTTGAACAACGTAAGTGATATCAGGACGCGTAAACGTGAGATACTGTAAAGCGTCAGCAAGATTGCGGTATAAGGTGGGATCAGCAACAGGAGGCCCGGAGCCATCAAACTTGGCAGATAAATCAGCAAGAGTGGAGGCAGATTTACAATTCGACATAGAGGCACGGTCAAGGATCTCAACAGCATATTTTTGTTGAGAGAGAAACAAACCATGAGGAGATCGAACAGCTGAGACCCCCAAGAAGTAATGTAGATCGTCGAGGTCGGACATGGAGAACTCACCACTTAGCAGGGAGATAAAATGAGCAAGCAACTGAGTGGATGATCCTGTGAGAATAATGTCGTTGACATATAATAACAAATATGCAATATGCTCACCATGTCGATAGATAAGCAAAGATGAATCACACCTGCTATGAACAAAACCAATGTTAGAAATAAACGCCGCAAAGTGCTGAAACCATGCCCGCGGGGCCTGTTTAAGACTGTAGAGTGATCGTTGAAGTAAGCACACGTGATCAGGACGCGTCGGATCTCGGAAACCAGGTGGATGCTGCATGTAAACGGTCTCCTGCAAATGACCATGAAGGAAAGCATTATTGACATCAAGTTGTCGAATGGGCCATTTGTGGGTGACATCAATCGTGAGGACCGTACGGATGGAGGCAGGTTTGACAACAGGGCTAAAAGTTTCATCACAGTCAACACCCGGTCTTTGACTACGACCATTAGCCACCAACCTTGCTTTGTAGCGAGATAAGGAACCATCTGCATTAAGTTTCTTTTTAAACAGCCAAATACAGTTAATAACATTAGCCTCCTTAGGTCTTGGAACTAATACCCAAGTTTTGTTAGTGATAAGAGCAATATATTCTTCTGTCATTGCATTAAGCCAATTAGGATCTTTAAAAGCCTGAAAATAATTTTTAGGGACAGAGGAAATGGTGTCAACATGTAGATTCAACCGACGTATGGGTTTTGTAATACCCATTTTTCCTCGTGTGACCATGGGATGTGTAGATTCGATTACACGGTCAGGGGAAGAGGAATTTGTGGATGATGTAAAGGATGGGTTGCGGTGAAGTGGACTGAAGTTAGGTAGGTTGGATGAATTCTGTTCACGGGCTGAAGAGGGCGTTGGGCCAGTAGGTGTGGTAGGGGAAGCAATAGAGGTTGAGATAGATTCGGATGATTCGGCAGAAGGTTGGTCTTGCATTGGAGGATCATGATGTGGTATAGGGGTGGTAAATAGTGGATGGTTCAGGTTAGGTTTATCATGGTCAAGGAAGGAGTAGGATGGGGCACGGTTAGGCATCAGTGAGCCAAAGGGGAACACCGTTTCATCGAACACAACATGCCGGGATATTATAATCTTATTTGTATCAAGGTCTAGGCACCGATATCCTTTATGATTTGTCGGGTAACCAAGGAAAATACAAGGAGTTGATCATGGTGAGAGTTTATGAGGAGCATTAAGGTGAGGAAAACAGAGGCATCCAAACACACGAAGGTGATCATAGGATGGTGGTTTGTTGAAGAGTTTATGATACAGAGTATCATGGTCGAGGGTGGTAGAGGGTAGTATGTTAAGTAAGTGGGCCGCCATGTGTAATGCTTCGGCCTAATAGGTTGGTGGAAGTCTAGCATGCATTAAGAGGGTTCGAACCGTATTATTGAGAGTGCGGAGCATGCGTTCAGATTTTCCATTTTGTTGTGAGATGTATGGACATGAGAATCTAATTTGAATGCCATGGTGAGCAAAGAGATGGTGAAATTTTGTGTTGTCATATTCACCTCCATTATCACATTGAAAGGTTTTTATAATGGAGGTAAATATGACAACACAAAATTTCACCATCTCTTTGCTCACCATGGCATTCAAATTAGATTCTCATGTCCATACACCTCACAACAAAATGGAAAATCTAAACGCATGCTCCGCACTCTTAATATACGGTTTGAACCCTCTTAATGCATGCTAGACTTCCACCAACCTATTGGGCCGAAGCATTACACATGGCGGCCCACTTACTTAACATACTACCTTCTACCACCCTCGACCATGATACTCCGTATCACAAACTCTTCAACAAACCACCATCCTATGATCACCTTCGTATGTTTGGATGCATCTGTTTTCCTCACCTTAATGCTCCTCATAAACTCTCACCACGAAATCGTCTATAGTTTTCAATGTGTCTTTCATTAGATTACCCTCCAAAATATATACACGGTACATTAGGTTTAATAAGGGCCAAACATCATGGGCCAAACTATAATGAGAATTACACAAAATACATAAATACAATATGCTAACAAATCACAGACGGTTCACGGTTTTTAAGAGTATTCTTAAACACACTTAATGCCCAAATATAACTATCTTCATCCTCTCTCTCAATAAATACATACCCATAATAAAAAGATGTATTATAACATGAAACCCCAATGATGTCAAGGAGAGATGCATGCTATATTTGTTGGTTTTATATGTACAATCCATTATATAGATATTAGAGAAAGATTTTGCCAATTTAATTGGCAAAGGATGTGCAATAAAAAAATGGTTATATGCCTTATTGAGTTATGTAAAATATCATATATAAAACCCTCTTTTCAAACTCTTCAAATAAAGCACTAACCATTGATCGATTGCCCAAGTTTTCCTTGCGGATTTTCGCCTTCAGATTGTATATAGTTCGAGAGACTGTTGGAAGGTTTGGGTTTCTTTGACGCAAAGAAGAAAGAATTTGCCTTGGGGGTATGCCAGAAAGCGTCATGTTTTGACACTTTGTACATCATTTGGTGATAATCGACGAAATGATGGATGCCCAGAGATATCCGTAGATGGTTCATGGTTGTGAGTCAAGTTTTTTGCCTTAAGTACCCAAACACCATCATTTCCTTTTTTACATACAACCTGGAAGGGGCATTTAATCAAACGAGATCCAATGTTCTTCTTCCTTTTATCTCCAATACACATTCTATCTCGATAGGAACCGCCTCGATCACATTGTAATGTGACATATTTATCTTTACTTGAATCTCGAATAGATACTCCATATCCTTTAGCATAATACAAATCTCTTACACTCTTTAGTAATTCATCATACGATTCAAATTTCAAGTTAGCTAAATAGAGTTCTTCATTTTGTACCGTAAAACTTGATGAATCCATTCTCTCTGTTCAATCAATTTTAACACAATCAAACATCACATTCAAGTTTAAATCAAAAAGTTAACATAATCAAAATCAATTTTAACACATTTTGAATCATAATCAATTCAATTTTCAATTTTGAATCATAATCAATTCAAGTTTAACATAATCATAACCAATTCAAGTTTAAATGTGGAGTTATCATATGGTGTTAACATAATCAAAAGTCTAAAATATAGCTTCGTTAAACAATTGAATAATTCTCTTTTAAGGTAAGAAAGTCAAAGTCTTGATCAGTTTTTTCATCTGACCTTCACATTTAAAAATAAAAATTGAACAATTATTTTTACTAATGAAAAAAATCCATACCTTTGTCTTTTTACATGAATGAATGTGCTGTTGTTGAGATGCTTAATTAAAAAACTTTTTATTCAAGAAAAATTAGGTATTCAAAATTTAATATTTGTTGTTGAAGCATGTAATTATTCAAAGTAAATTTTTTAGGGTCACCATTGGCATGTGGCCCACAGTGACTTTTCTATTCCCTTTTTTGTGATATGCACAGTCTTAATTTTCCTAACCCAATCATGATGATACGAATTGAATATTGACATTTTATTTAGTTATTTATAAATTTTTAGTGACTAATAATAGAGATTTTGAAGGTTACCGATTCAAAGATGAATGGAAGTAGCCGCTGATGAAGATCGTTGTGCCGACAACCGACTATAGATTTCCAAAGTTTGATCCTGCGTCGTGTATGTATTTTTGGAAAAAGAAAATGGGTATATATGTTAGAGATTATAATTCACGTAAAGATAGGTGAGATCCCATGTTATCAGCTTCTGATATTAATTATCCAGACATTAATTAAATAATTAAATGAATTGAAGGGTATCATAGTCTATACATAAAATATTAAGTGGAAGTATCAAAAACCTCATTGGAAAAATGAAAAATCAGCTCTCTAAAAAAATCTCATTAATAATAGGTTTTATGCATTTAAAATTAAAATAATAACATTAAACACCAATGAAAAAGTGTCACTCACATGCAATTCTAAGATAAATCCGTGCCTCCACTAATTGACCAACCAAAGGCCGAGTTGTGTGAATACACGGATCACCATCTAACGGTTATCTATCCATCGATCCAACGGTTAATACACATCTCTTCTAAAGCACACATTTTCTTCCAATCCACTATATAAAAGAAAAGACCCTTCCCCCAAATTCAGAACATTCGATTCAACTTAATTCACAGAAATACAGAAAACAAATAGAGAAAAATGTCTGGAAGAGGAAAAGGAGGCAAGGGATTGGGAAAGGGAGGAGCAAAGCGTCACCGGAAGGTTCTCCGTGACAACATCCAGGGGATCACAAAGCCTGCGATCCGCCGTCTGGCGAGGCGTGGTGGCGTGAAGCGTATTAGCGGTCTTATTTATGAAGAGACACGAGGTGTGTTGAAGATCTTCCTCGAGAACGTTATTCGTGACGCTGTTACTTACACCGAGCACGCTCGTCGGAAAACTGTTACTGCCATGGATGTTGTCTATGCCTTGAAGCGTCAGGGACGAACCCTGTACGGTTTCGGTGGTTAGGGTCAGTTAAGGTTTTTAGATTAGTTTCTGTCCTGTTTCATTTACGTTTCCGATTTGGTTAGTTTTTGTGTAGAGATGCTTGTTATATCGGTATAACTGAAGCTAGATTCCGATTTAAGATGAATTTTAAACTCACTTTCATGTTAGATTTTACTTCGGTTGTGTTATTATTCTGAAAATTGAAACTATTTATGGTTTATTTTTACCCAATTTTCAAGTTAAATACCTTCGTTACGACTGTTGATTCTTGTTTACAATGTTCATAAATTAAGAGTGGTTTCTCTCGAGTATGTGAGATTTTGTTTTGATATATGAGTTTCGTCTAATTGCTGCTCTAAAATTTTGATCACATGATTGCATTTAAGTTTAAGCAGAAATACGCCCAATATGATTATTTAAATCCCTGAACACAATTGTTGATATGTTTTGATGGAATGTGTACTCGAGAGTTCATAGCATTATATGCGGATTGTAAGTTTGTATATATGCTTCGTTGTAATCAATATTAAATAACAATGATAATTCATCTTTCTCCCATCTTTCATTTCTTCTTTGATAAGTTGATATGGTATCTGTGCCGTGCAGATATGCGTGGCCTCTACGGTCTGTGCCGTGCAGACAACGTGCACATATTAGCCTTCGCAGACTGTTTGTTTTTTTGAAGACTGCAGACCTAAAAATGTCTGCGCCCCCCTTTCTTGGCGCAGATGTGGACCAGAGTCTTCTAACATCTTCTAGCCTAAAAAACATATATATATCTTTATTTTTTTAAGTTTTTTTTTTTTAATTTATATTTTTTCAAACTTTATTAATGATAAACAATTTGAAAAAAAAAATACAAAACTTAAAAAAAAACGTTCGACTATACAAACATGATATTTTTGACAAATTTATAAATAAAGATTTATTACAATAATAGTCGCTGAAGTTGTTTATATAAATATGAAAAAAAAATCATAATATATTCTTATATTATTTTTGCCAAATTTTGTAAAACATTATTTAATACAGTATCGTCAATTTCTCAAGAAAATATTTATAGTATGTTTTTAATGGATTTAATTGAAAAAACCGAAGTTTATTTCCATCTATTTATGTAGCAAATTATTTGATCACTAATTATAATGTTTAGTTATAACTTTGCAACCAAAGTTGTTGGTTTTTATCAAATATATACGTTAATTCATATCATTTTTATTTTTATTTTTTATACAATAATACATAAAAGTTGATCTAGATTCGTTAATTAGTTATAACAAAGTCATAAAAATATTAAAAAATCATTTTGAAGTTTAAAAAAACAGTTTATTTATATTTCAGTTTATTTTAGTAGCCCGCAGATGTTAAAAAAACAAACAGTCTTCTTTTGTCAGACTGCAGACGTTTGGTCCACCTCTTCTACTGCAGAGGTCTACAGATGTGGTACGCAGACTGCATACATTTTGTCTCAGAAAAAACAAAGAACACCTTAGATTTATCACAAGCTCATTCTCATAGAACACAAAGAATTAGGAACAAACCATCATATCTAGAGGTCTATCATTGCAATCTCACAAAAGTTAATACTACTTTTGATTCATGATTCATGTTTCTGTAGATATCCTCTATCTGAAGTTATCTCTTATGATAATCATGGTACCAATTGTAAAGCTTACAGTATCTCTTTGTTTGCTCAAGAAGAACCCAATAATTATAATAAAGCTTCAAAATATGTTGAGTGGCAACAAGCTATGAATGACGAGTTACAAGCCTTGGAATTAAATAACACTTGGGTAGTTGTTCCTCTACCAAAATATTGAAAACCATTGGGGTGTAAATGGGTATATAAGATCAAAAGAAAAGATGATGGAACAGTGGATCGATTTAAAGTTAAGCTTCTTTAGCTGCAAAGGGATTCAATCAACAAGGAGTGGATTTTTAGATACTTATTCACCTGTTGGTAAACTCTTCACAGTGAAATTACTTCCTGCTTTGGCTACTTATGAAAGGAACCATTTCCCAATTGACATACCTAATCACATAATGGTTTCGTATTAAATGCCATGGCATAAATTCATAAAATACTAAAAATACCCAAGTAAGAGGTTTGAGAATGTGTTTTGAAGTTAATTTCAACATGGAAACGATTAAATTTAACTTGACAGGAGAATATCTGAATTAAATTTAAACCCAACACTGATTTTCAATGGGATAAGTATATGGAGGAGACCAGTTGGCCTAAAAATATACACGGCAAATGCTTGTCCTATACGGGATGCGGTGGGTGGAGACTTGTATGGTATGGACCGGCATTTGTGTAGTTGGGTCCGATCATGTTTTAGTTAGTGTTTACATGTTTGCTTTGCATATATATAATGATTGATAGTTAGTGTTTGAGTTGTACTGTATTATCTTATTTCAAGTTTGAGAATAAGAATCATATAGTGTAGATGTAGATAACATCAACCAAACCACCATAAATTCTGTCTTTTTTGTGTGTTGATTATTGTCGTTAATTCTGGCAATAACTTTTGCAAACTAACAAGGTGTTAAATGTCGACTCTCCTAATTTCCTGAAACTTCTGTTATCAACAAGTCAATTCTCCTAATTTCTTCAACATTTTGAAATAAAAAAACTATAATAACTTTACTCGGTCCATTCTATCTTTTCATTCATATCTCTTTCTAATCATTTTACAACTACAAATAGTTTTTCCAACACAAAAAAAGTACTTATAAGTTACAATTTTTTGCTGCCGTATAAACTAAGATTTAAATCGATTTTAGAATAATGAAGGCTTAAAATAAGCGGTAGGATTGTGTATATTAAACTTTAACTGGTTGTGGATTATAGTTCAATTAAAAGATATGGATGAAAGGTGGTTTAACAACCATCTATCCCTGCTAGCTCTACCACTAATCCAAACAATTGTTTTTTTTGCTTCCATATAAATAATAATAATAAATAAATCTACTCTAATGAATAGCCATTTATGCCATTTGTCACATTTTCATGTATTTTGACACATGTAATTTTGTGATTAATTCTTAGAAATTAATTTTCACTTATCATTTTGTGGTAATTTTTGATTTTCTTAATTAACTATTATAACTTTTAGCTTATAGAAAATAATTAATGTGTCGTTAATTTGTTTCCTTATATTTTCAAATTTTAATATGTTTCTTTCAATGTATATAATTTAAAGTTGACATGTTTCTTTCAAAGTTCATTGTCATTTTAGGCCAATATGATATATATATAGGAAAAATAATTAAACTTTGTTGTTTTTCATTGATTAAACTAAAACAAATATGGTTAAGTCACACATATGACCAAAATATAATTATTTCTACATAGTTTGTTTTATTAGTATAAATTAAATTATTTATTTATTTTTCAATTCGTTAGTATTTATTTTGAAATTTTACTTTAAAAAGTACTTAATGTTTACACTTTGATATTTAACATTTTCTTTAAAAAATACTTAATATTTATATCTTCATATATAACCTTTTTTAATCAACTCGTGTAGTAGACAGTCTTAAACCTAGTATCAAATAGTTTGGTAATAAAAAATGATTGTTGTTTTCATATTCAGTCTCAAATACGTTTTAAGATTCATCAAGGCATAATTCTTTCGAGAGGTAAAACAACAATTTTACCATGAAAAGTTAAATTCTACAACTTATTTTAATACAATTAATTATTCTATCAACTTATTTTAATTGACGCACAAAAACATGCTCCAAATGCTTTACCAATGGGATAAATATAATATGATCTTAAGAATATTTAGATCACGCTTATTTTTTTTTTTTCATGAATATTAAGAATGTTTGTCCTACTAAAATTGACCGTTGTTCTCGTTTTGTTGTTGATATCTTACTTATTCTTAATGTAGAGATATATCGTAACATATCAAACATTCTATAAACTGTTTTTCGGTGTTATATATGATATATAATGTTTTGGTAATTCAGGAAAACTAATGGGGATGTTAAGGTTTTTTGGAAAAAAAGTTATGTATTAGCAAAAGTTAACTTTCAAATTTGATAATCAAGCAAAATAGAAAAAAGGGAAATAGACTTATCAAAGGTAATTAAATTTTCGGTTTGTTCACGTTTGGGTAACTATTTTTTTGTACACATCTAGTTAATGAACTTTTTGGAAGTTTCACATATGACCGGCTGTAACAGGTTACATCCGGTCATAACTGGTTATAATGGTCATATGTGAACATTTCCAAAAAGTTCGTTACCTAGATGTGTACAAAAAAAGATAGTTATCCAAATGTGATCAAACCGAAAAGGTAAGTGTAAATTACACGAATGATACTTGTGGTTTGGGTAATTTATGCGTTCGGTCCCTAACTTATTTTTTAACTCGGATGATCCCTACTGTTTATTTTTGTTGTGTGTTTGGTCCCTGTCTTATCTCAAAAGACTATTGTGCCATTTTAATTTATTTTTTAAATAATTTTCTTATTTTTTGTATATTTAAAAAATTAATAGACCCCACATATCTGTATCTCTTCACCATAAACCTGGAACTACATTTGAGAAATTTAAGTTGGGTCCCACCAGTCACCTTCTTATCATCTCATCCTTCTCAACTTCTATTTTCTTTCCATCTTTAGTGATATCAACGTCTTCATCACCCCTTCTTTTTTCGGTCATTCAACTCCGACGAACCAACACCACAACCCACTGTCTCTTCATCGAATTTTTCACCACCACAACCCAATAGAAGGGTTGTGGTGTTGGTTCGCCGGAGTTGAATGACCGAAAAAAAGGGATGCTGAAGACGTCGATGTCACTAAAGATGGAAATGAAATACAAGTTGAGGAGGATGGGAGATGAGATGGTGACTGGTGAGACCTAACTTAAATTTCTTAAATGTGGTTTTAGGTTTAGGGTGAGGAGATACAGATATGTACGGTCTATTAATTTTTTTTTAAATATATTAAAAATAAATAAGAAAATAAATTAAAAAGGGCACAATAGTCTTTTGAGATAAGACAGGGATCAAACACACAACAAAAATAAACAGTAGAGATCGTCTGAGTTAAAAAATAAGTTAGTGACCGAACGCACAAATTACCTATATCACAAGTATTATTCGTGTAATTTACACTTACCTTTTCGGTTTGTTCACATCTGGGTAACTATCTTTTTTTGTACACATCTAGGTAACGAACTTTGTAGAAATGTTTACATATGACCATTATGACCGGATGTAACCTGCTACAGCTGGTCATAATGGTTATATGTGAACACTTCCAAAAAGTTCGTTACCTAGATGTATAAAAAAAAGATAGCTATCTAGATTTAAACAAACCGAAAAGTTAATTACCTTAATAAGTCTATTTCCTTAGAAAAAATAAGAAAATTATAGATTTTAGGCAAAACTTCAAAAATGGTCCCTGTGGTTTTCGAAAATATCAAGTTTAATCCCTAAGTTCAAAAAATCTCACAGATGGTCCCTGTGGTTTCAAAACTTTTAACAAACAGCCCCTTAGCCACATAAAAAGACTAATATGCCCTTTCTATTTCTTTTTAGAATTAATTTTACCTAATCCTATTTTAAAAAATAGAAAAACAAAATAAATAATTCATTGGGCCCACCTCCCCCCCCCTCTCTCTCTCTCTCTCGTGAAAGTCTTTGTCATCTTCTTCTACTCAATCCCCAACACCCTTTGACTGATAAAAAAACAGGCACTTCATTTACATCAGTTCATAGCCCAAGCCTCTTGATTTTGAAACATCACCACTGCTCCACCACTACTCAGCCATAGAACCACCTGTATCAAATGTGAATCACCAACGTTGGCCACCGTTTGTTAACCAACAACCCCCCTTTTCCCTCTCCTGCTCCGACAATCAATCCTAAAAGCAATAACACCAGCAGAAATCGAGCGAAGGCAGAAATTGAGGGAGGTTCTTCGATCCTCGTCTGATCGAGAAAGGAGAAGCAAGAATGGAAAACAACAGCAGGTGGGGGTGTTCGTGAGGAAAGAATCCGACGAACCAAGGCTGCCGCCCCTGTTTCAGTTTCTCTCCTTCCTCCTTCATTCTTCCCTATCGATCAACAACTCAAAACATCCCCTCGTTTGCAGTGGTCCTCAATTTTGGCTTCGATAAAGTGAGAGGAAGAAGAACCGATAAACTAGCGAGCTGTTACAACTCCCCAACCATCCTCACTTGGTTCTCCGTCACCTCCAGCACCTCCTCTCTCCGCCTACTGTTGGTGATTTGAAGTCACAGCTCCGATGAGTGAGCTATCAGCCGAGAAGGAGCTCATCGAAAAAACCGACTGCTCTTCCCTCTTCCACCATTATAGCCGCCTCCGCCTTTCCCCCCTTGTGACTGCTTAACTACTGCAGAACCACACTCCACCATCGGAGCTTCCTGATCGCAGCCTTCTATTCGTGATTTCAGCTTCTCCGAACAGACGAAGACGGAGACCTGTTCCCCTAGCTCTTAACCGGAGATGATGCAAGTTAAAGCCTCAGAGGGTCGCCGGAGATCGACGACTCTGTCTCTCCTCGCGATTTGAATGACCACCATCGGAACTTCTCATCGCTTCCGATTTGTTCGTTCCTCCAAATCCCCAAACAGATGAAGAAGACGATGTGCGTTTTTTATGTTTAGAGAGAGAGAGAGAGAGAGAGAGAGAGAGAGAGAGAGAGAGCAGGTGGGCCCAATGAATTATTTATTTTGTCTTTCTATTTTTTTTTAAATATGATTAGGTAAAATTAATTCTAAAAAGAAATAGAAAGGGCATATTAGTCTTTTTATGTGGCTAAGGGACTGTTTGTTAAAAGTTTTGAAACCATATGGACCATCTTTGAGGTTTTTTGAACTTAGGGATTAAACTTGATATTTTCGAAAACCACAGGGACCATTTTTGAAGTTTTGTCTAGATTTTATTACGAAAAATGGTTTTAAATTAAATTGATAAAATCATCAGACTTATCGGTTTCTTAAGTGAAATCAAAGCTTTAAACAAATATCATAGGAGTTCAATACAAACGAAAAAGACAATAATGCCCGCGAAATGTTTCGATCCAAACTTTGAAAACAAAACCAAAAACAAATTCCCTGAACTTCTTCTTTCTCTATCCGCCCAATGAGACCGGAGAATCTCCTCCACCGCCCTACCCACACCCAATACTGCACTCTCGGCTGCCCGATCCTCGACGACTTCCTCGGCGGCGGAATCCCCTGCAACTCAATCACCGAACTCGTCGCCGAAAGCGGTTGCGGCAAAACCCAACTCTCTCTCCAACTCCTCTTTACCGCTCAACTTCCTCTCCACCTCAACGGCCTTTCCGCCTCCTCTCTCTATCTTTACTCCGAGTACCCATTTCCCAACCGCCGTTTAGACCAACTCGTTGAATCGTTCCGGTCGTCTCATCCGATCTTATTCGCCTCTTCTCGTGACCCTCGTGATTACATATTCACCCGCAACTGCCAGACTGCACAAGACCTGCTCGACGTATTGCTCTTGTTGGAGTCTCGTCTTGAGAAACCAAAGGAAACCCGGTTGGATATCAAATTGATTGTGATTGATTCGATTGCTGCTTTATTCAGAAGCGATTTTGACAACAATCCAACAGATCTTAAGCGGAGGTCCTCGTTGTTCTTCAAAATCTCCTCCATTCTGAAGTCACACGCTAGGCGTCGTGGTATTGCGATTGTGGTTACAAACCAGGTGGTTGACTCATTCGAAGATAATCATGGGTCAAGTGGTGTCCGAGTTGGGAATCTGGAGTCTTTGTATACATCTGGAAGACGAGTTCTTCCAGCTTTGGGATTGTCTTGGGCTAACTGTGTTAACTCAAGACTGTTTTTGTCAAGACACGAGGTAATAGAAGGTGTAGAAAATGGTTTACCTGATTCTGATTATAGTGGTTATGTCAGTAGACGAAAAAGGAGGGAACTTCATGTTGTTTTTGCCCCCCATTTACCTCATTCATCTTGTGAGTTTGTTATACGAAGGGAGGGTGTTTTTGGTGTTGATGAATGTCTTTAAGAAATGAGATTACCTTCTGTAGCAAATGTTATCATACTTGAAAGCAATTCAAGAATACCCATTTGTTATTGGCTTATTTAACATTAGATTTTAGTTTTTTTTTTTTGGGAATTTAAGGTATGCCATAGGGTTCATCATTAATATGTTTGATTTATGATGATTTTGGTATACTCCCTTTTCTGGAAATGAAAAAAAAAAATATTATCTTTGAGCTTGAATATGTTGTAGGAGACTAACTAGTGTGTTTTTATTATTATCCTGTCTTATTTTTTTTCTGCCATATTTTTTATTGTAAGAAACAATTCTTTATAGCCAGAAAAGTTTAATGTCATTCTGAGAATATTGTTCCACAAACTGCATTTATGAAGCACACATTACATCATCATCTGTTACAAGTATATAACCCTACCACATGCTCTAGAAGCTATACCATATAATCTTGAAAACTTTTCGGTTTTTTCATGGTTACATTTGAATATTAGTTGTAAAAGTCTTGATAGCTTTGTGATTTCAACCTCTAGTATTACCTGCAAAAAAGTGAAATAGCTTTAGTTTCTATTTGTCATCTCAAACTGTTTCTTTTTTACTTAATGGACTTAACAAGACAAAACTAGATATTAATATAGAAAGATCGACTTACCTCCTTTTATCTTGTTGATGAGAACTGGGAATATCATGCTCAATTGGAATACGTTATGAATACGAATGGCACTGAAAACACACATGCAACAAATTAGTATTGTTTTAAAAAACACACATCTAATTTAGTTTGATACTTTTTTAACAAGATTCAGTTGTAGAATAAAGAATTGGGAAAACATGATATAAAAAAAGGGATCATCTTTGTAGTTAGTCAACTTCAATTTGGGAAAAAGGTGAAATTGATTAAAACTTACCAAGCAAAAAGATTGTTAGCATGGAAACAAGCATGACTCGAAATGAACAACTTCTGTGCAAATGTATTGAGGTCTGTAGTTGCCTTTGACCACCAACAGCCCTTTTAAATATCTGTAAACATTCACTTTTGAATATTAAACTAAATGTCAATACGCCTGCATTTGTCACACATGATAAAACTGGACTAGACTGAACTGAATATGGATGTGACATGATAGGACATTCACGTCTTTTTGTACAGACAAGATATCTCCCATCTTTTTGGTTACCTCAGTTTCAGTTTAATGTATATCAAACACAGTACAACTATTCTGTATTGGCTAAGTTGACATACTAACCTGGTTGATCCTATAATTCCCACATCTTGGTCTCCATAAATAACCTTTATCTTTCGATGTGGACTCACTATTCACCATTAATGATTTATTTTCTTCATTATCATGACCAATTGTAATCTTTAGTGTGCCAACATCTTGTGAACCCCATGTTCTTCTAGAACTTGCCTTCTTATCACATGAAGAACCATCACTAGTTCCCAATACTTCATGGCTAACATCTTTACAACTTGTGATATAATTTGTTTTTTTTGGGCTATCTTTTTTCGAAGAATCTTTAATATCAGAATCCGAGTCTTTTGTGCTATTTGAGCTTCCTGGATTCCCGGAGAGAAACATAGCTAAGTCATCACGCTCGTCTTCATCTAAATTCACCCAACGAAGTGGTTTTCTGACTCCGTCACTGAAATACTCTTTCAATGCTTCTTCGACTCCTGAAATCTGGGTAGCTATGGCGGAAACGAACTGTTCATGTCTCGTTGACCTAATTTCGTCGACGTTTCTGTAGCTCATTCTTACAGCTCGTTGAAATTCATCCAACTGAATTCGAGAATTAAAGTTTAAAAACATAGATTATGTTTCAAAATCCTTTGAATTTTGGGTATGATCGTGTTCATACCTGCCATTTTGCTGTGGCTAAAGCAGTTTGAAGCTCCCTACAAAGCTCATCTACAGCAATGGATGATATCCCTTCCCTCTTCTGTCTAACCCATGTCCTATAAGCTGACTCCATTCTAAAAATTTCAAAAAACAACAGAATCATCTCATAAAAATTAATACTTTTTGGATTGAAATGAAAAACCCACATAAAAAATTAAAGAATAATGATATGTCTAGAAGAGAAAATCCCCTGATGCATGGTCGAACCATAAATAGTTAAAGATATTGGCATACCCTAACACAAAATCGAACGGAAAAAACTAGGGATTGAATCGAAATAAACGATACCCAGATAACAAAATAAAGGAATCAACAAGAACCCTAAATGAATTTGGGTGAAGGTTGAGAAGAAAACATACATATCTGCAGATGCCTGAACCTCCTCTGCGGCTGAAAAGAAGATGTCTTTCTGCCATAGATCAAAGGTGTTTGCTACCAACATATTTTCGTGAATTTCTAAAAAATTAAATGGAATTTCGTTTGTTTTTGATCTTTTTGGTATATGTTTCGTGAAAAAATTAGGAGGTTGGATTACGAAGGGGTTCTCTTCTTCCTCTCTTCTTTGCTTTCTTTAAGCAAAGAAGAGAAGAAAGAAGAGAGAGAAAGCTAAGGAGAAGGGAGAGAGAGAGGGGAGAGACAGAGATAGAGACAGGGTGAGAGGTATAATGGTTTCTTTTTCTTTATATTTCTCCTGCAAATTACAAAAAACGAGTGTTTTTTTTGGTTGGTTGAGGAAAAGACGCCAGCTTATGGGATATTATTAACCACATTCAAAACACAATAAACTCTTATTTACCTGTAAAGCATCTGTAACTTCATATGTAATTTAATAAAAGTATGTTAGTTTATAATATTGTTAATAGTTTTTAAGATATTTTATTGTTTATTATAAAATATATTAAATTAAATATAAGTCAAATGTTATATTATTTATAAATGTATATTATATAAATGGGCCTGGTAATGGTTGCGATTTCAAGATTTTAGCCATACTAACAAGAACTGTTTTGATTAATTTATGAAAATTATAATGTATTTTTTTATTTAAAATCTATTCTTAATTTCTCATCCTAGTTACAACTAACTTGATGGTTTTCAATAATTTTTTTCTTATTTATTTATAAGAATTCCACTCAAATATATATTGACTTTCTCAATATACGTATTAGTAAATATGCATTTATAGTGAGTTTATGAACAATTAAATCATCAAACATAACTTTATACATATTTTGGAGTTTCTAAATTGAGTTCGAGCCGACATAATGCATCCAAACGAGCTCAAACTTGGTTCAAAGACACGTGGCAAACAGTAAATGATGCTAGTATAGGATAACTTACGTGGTCAGGCGAGCAGGTGATCCAGGCTTAGTGAGATGGTAAAATATAGAAGCGTCGGCTGGTGGATTAGTGAACGAAAAAAGAGAATATGATAAGGTGTAAACGGTTCCACGTACATTTCTATGCATTCACGCCAGCCATCCACTATGGACTGTGGGGCCAGAACACCAATAAAAAGAACCATTATTTATTTAAAAAATATTATTTACTCATTTATAGCCGCATATGATTATACTATACAAGAATTTAGCAGGACAAGGAGGTTGTGGTGATGTTTATAAAGGGTGGATAGATTATCGCACAAAAGATTCTGCAAAACCAGGACATGGTTTAACTGTTGCTGTTAAAAGGATCAAGAAGGAAGGTGTTCAAGGCATAGATGAATGGAGGGTATGAATTTTTTTTAACCAGAAATGTATTTTTTTTATATAAATAAATCTCATTAAAATCCCTTCCCCACTAATTTTTCAGAATGAATTGAAGATTTTGAGCAGTTTTAAACATCCAAATGTAGTGAAACTGTTGGGATATTGTGCTGAAGGCATGCACAGGATGCTAGTGTTTGAGTTCATACCTAATGGAAGCTTGGAGGAGAATCTTTCAAGAGGTAAGCTCCCAAAACTCTAAGCGTGTGTTTATTGTTTGCTCCATAGGACATGACATAAAAAATTCTAATCTATTTGACATGTATTGGACTGTAATTGGGAGTCATGTGTATGTAACAAAAATTTCAATTGGGTCCCACCTAAAACGGTGGGAGATGACTATATACCCTCTCAAAAGATGTGGATGTTCTCGTTATTCTCACCATTGAAAATAAACATAGAAAGGTTCTCCAATGTAGTCGAGTCGAATCCAGTGTAGTCGAGTCGAAAGTATAATCAAGTTCAATTCACTCGACAACCATGTAACTAACACAACATAAAGTATGTTCTTTAAATTTAGGCACAATATGAAGATTTGGTATTTCAAGAAGTTCGGAATACTCAAAGGCCCCGTTTGTCACACACTGTAGAATATGTACTACTCTTGACACGATTGAATTGTGACCGATATCAATGAGACAAAAACTACAATTCTCACCCCAAAAGGTGGAAGAAGATGGACATTGATTCTACTAAAGTACTAAGTAAGAGAAGTGAAGCCTCTTTATCCGTGTTATTGGCTATAGCCTTAGAAAGCTTGTCCATTATAGTCTAGTATGGTATAGTCTGGTTTAGTCTAGTCCAATCAAGTTCCGTTCAGTAGGGGTGTTAAAAAATATCCGATATCCAATCCGAAATTCGGATATCCATATTTTTGGATTCGGATACGGCTAGTCATTTTATAAATTTTCGGATATCCAAAATCCAAAATTATTATTATTTTTTTTATATATTTCGGATATCGAATATCCAGTTATTTTTATTTATTAGTCATTTTATAAATTATGTTTTTAAAATTGATTAAGTTTTTTTTACCTAAATTATTCTACCTATGTCCACTGTGGGATTTGAACCCTCAACTTCAAGAAGAAAGGACAGCACTGGATACCGCCGGGCTAGAAGACCTTTAGTTAAAATTGATTTAGCACACTTCATTTATCTTCATTCATGCATGAGAGCCATTTAATAAATGAACCAAAAACAATTTCACATATAATTTTATTAGCATAGCGATATTTATTGAATAACTAGACGAATGCCCCGTGCATTGCGTGAGATATAAAAAAATATTTTATATTAAAAATAACTAAATCATTGTTATTAACAATTAATAATAATTTCATAAAAAATATAAAAAATGATTTTTAGTATTGTTATTATGTTGAACTATATTATAAGAGATAAGGTTGGAACTTGAAGTTGTTTTGTATATACAAAGTTATATGATTAAAATAGAAAAAAAAAATAATTTTTAAAAATAAATAAATCGTTATTGTTATCTATTAAATAATAATTTCATATTAAATTAAAACGTTTATATTAAATATTATCATTATGTAGAAAATACGATAATAGAGACATCTTTTTATCTATCTTAAATTTTATCATTCTGTACAACATATGATAATAGAGACAACTTTTTATCTTAAATAGTAAAAAAAATGTTTTGTATCATAAATATTACCATAATTATGTAGAACATATGATAATAGTGACGTCTTTTATAAGGTTAAAACTTTAAATTGTATTACATACAGGGTTGTAAAACTTGGCTAACACAACCAAATACTCGGCATGTTACTTAAACTCGGCCTCCAATGGAAGCGAGTTTGCCTAACTCAGCCAAAAGACACTCGGATCCTTATTAAACTCGATCCAAATATAAAAAATACGGCCCAAAATCATTTTTTTCGAAATTCTGAAATTTAATTGGTCACTTGTCGACAAAGACAATCTCACCAAAGAATACACTCAACGTCGTATAAAGTTAGATGCAAGGAAGATCTCATGGCTTAGTCCCTTTGAAATATTTCACAACCTTTCCTATTTATAGAGGAGAATACATTCTCTTGTTACTCTCACGATCAATGTGGGATGAAGACGTTTTAATTAAACTCATTTCTTTATTTGCCAATAATTTCATTTTGTTAAATAAAATATTAAATAATAAAAATAAAACGTTATCTAGAAAATTTATTGTTCAATAGTTCCATTTTTCAGTAATCTCGTAAGTTGCTATAAAAAATTAAGTTTTTATTGAATAACTTTTTGTTAAATCCTAAAATCATAAATTCAGTTAGGTACTTAATATAGAAAGTTTGTTTATATATATTTTCATGATATCAAAATGTCATTATAAAATGAATTCATTTATAAAATATAATCGAGTATATATTCTGTGCTTTTGAATCAAAATGATTTTTCAAACAATTATAATTTTATGTTTAGGTAGATTTTTTTATATTTATATAACATTATGTAACTTATAATATTATTATAAACAATTTGAATAATTATGGGAGTTTCAAATGTATGTGGTGAAAGGAAAATGCTTCGTTTATCGGTCCAAATTGATCAAACTCGGACCGATTCAGCTTAATATACCAAACTACATAACATTTTTTCTATTGAAACCCGGTTTGTATATATTTTGTGTTTTTTAATCAAATTTATTTTTCAAACAATTATAATTTTATGTTTAGGTAACTTATTTATAATAATATTATTAGAAACAATTTGAAAAACCATGGGAGTTTCAAATGTATGTGCTGAAAGAAAAATACTTCCTTTATCGGTCCAAATTGATCAAACTCAGACCGATTCAACTCAATATACCAAACTACATAATGGTTTTTCGACTGAAACTCTGTTTGAACCTAAAAAAATCTTGTTCAAAACCATTTTCGGGATTCTAAAACTCAAATGGACAGTTGCCAATAAAGACATTCTCACCAAAGAATACCCTCAACATCCTAAAAAGGTAGGCATAAGGAAGTTCTCATGGTTTGGTCCCTTTGAAACATTTCACAACCTTTCCTATTTATAGAAGAGGAAACGTTCTCTTGTTTACTCTCACCATTGATGTGGGATGAAGACATTGTAATAAAACACGCTTTCTTGTTTATAAAACATTATTCAACTTATTTAGTAAAACACCCCTTCTCTTGTTTACCCTTTCTTTATTGTTCAATAGTTCCATTTTTCTATAATCTCGTAAGTTGCTATCCAAAAAAGTAAGTTTTTATTGAATAACTTTTTGTTCAATTCTAAAATCATAAATTCAGTTAGGTACTTAATATAGAAAGTTTGTTTATATGTATTTTCAAGATTCAAAAGTTCATTATAAAAAGAATTCATTTATAAAATATAATATGCGTATATATTTCGTGCTTCTGATCAAATCGAATTTTCAAACAATTATAATTTTATGTTTAGGTAGATGTTTTTTTTTATATTTATATAACATTATATAACTTTTTTAAAATATCATTGGAAACAATTTGAAAAATCATGGGAGTTTCAAATGTATGTAGTGAAAGGAAAATGCTTCTTTTATGGTCCAAATAGATCAAACTCGGACCGATTCAACTAAATATACCAAACTACATATTTTTTTTTCTAGTGAAACCCGATTTGTATATATTTCGTGCTTTTAAATCAAAGTGATTTTTCAAATAGTTATAATTTTAGGTTTAGGTAGATGCTTTTTTATATTTATATAAAATTATGTAACTTATTTATAATATTATTAGAAATAATTTGAAAAATCATGGGAGTTTCAAATGTTTGTTGTGAAAGGAAAATGATTCCTTTATCGGTCCAAATTGATCTAGCTCCGGTTCAACTCAATATACCCAACTACATAATTTTTTTTCTAACTGAAACACGGTTTAAACCTGAAAAAATTTGGTTCAAAACCATTTTTGGAATTCGAAAAGTTAACTGGACACTTGCCAATATAGACAATCTCACCAAATAATACCTTCAAAATCCTACAAAGGTAGGCATGCGGAAGTTCTCATTGTTTGGTCCATTTGAAACATTTCACAACCTTTCCTATTTATAGAAGAGGAAACATTCTCTTGTTTACTCTCACCATCGATGTGGGATGAAGACATTGTAATAAAACACCATTTCTTGTTTATAGAACATTATTTAACTTATTTATAATATTATTGTAAAGAAATTGAAAAGTCATGGGAGTTTCAAATGAATGTGGTGAAAGGAATTTAAAAAATGGGGTTTCAAATGCATGAGATTTAAGAAAAAATGCTAGCTTTATAAGTATGTATGATGAGGCATTTTAGAAAAATAATTATTCTGTTTTAATTAAGCAATATATTTTCTAACCAAACAATATTTTAAGATTTTACATTAAGTATTGTAGACAGAAAAAAGTATATTTTAAAATTTTAAAGGGATAATGACTTGAAAATGTAACAAATTATACCTTTTTGTTATATTTGGTCACTAGGTTACAACCCGTGGAAACCACGAGTAAAAAATTTAAAAACAAATTTATATTATTAATAAGAGTTAATTTTGTTTTGCATTTTTTGCATTGATTATTTAAAATTAATATTAATATAAATTTGTAAAAAGATATATAAATTTGAATATATGTTAAAGAGAAACACAATCAATCCATTGAAAGGTAAATATGAAGATAACTAAAATGCTTTTTCAATATGTGAATGCTTTATGAAGTGTGAGGGCAAATCATTATTTTTTGATTTGAGGGAGCAATCAAGAAACACCATGTGGCATCTATTAAAGCCTAAAAATCAAATATCGAAACAAATTCAATATTATGGATTACAATGCTATATAAAAAAATAAAATATTAAAAAATTGTAATAAAAAAAAGAAAAAAACACAATTGTTTGAATTTAAAAACTAGGAAACATTTATAAATTTCTAAAAACTTTCTTATACACAACATTGGAAGTTTTGTTTGTAAGTCTACCATCCTTATCTAAAATTAACAATTTCAATCATTCTCTACTTTGAACTCTAGATAAGGCAACATACAACTGTCTATGTGAAAAAACATGATCTTTGAGATACATACCAACCTTTGATAACGACTGCCCCTGACTTTTTATTAATTGTCATTGCAAAACATACAGCCAATGGAAATTGTCTTCTTTGAAATTTGAAGGGAATTTTTTTCCAGATGGACTTAAAGACATTCTCGGAATAAAGGTTTGCTTTCCAATATTAGTTCCAGATATGATAATTGCCTCAATAACACGTTTGCCCAGAGATTTTACTTGTAGTCTAGTGCCGTTAATAAGCCATTTTTCTTATCAATGTTTCTTAGTAACATAACTGGAACACCGACCTTTAAAATTAACTTTTGATTTGGCAAACCTGATACTTTAAGACCATTTAAAATATATGGGGAGTATAAATTGGGATCAAACTGATCATGAACAAACTCTGATTGGCAAAGACTATCTGAACTTAAATATTCTACTTCGTCTTCGGGAAACAATGCTAACAAACGATCATTGATTTGTTGGACAACTTCATTTTTTGGAGCTAGTATAGCTCTTTCTTGAAAATAACTCGTAACGTTGAATTTTTCCAAGATTGAAGGATATACAAACTCAATTAATGAACCAATAGGATCATGTGGATCATTATTGAGAATATCATCCGGAACATCAATAATCGCTTCACCATCGTTCGAACCACCAACTTTTCCTTCTCCTATATCCAAAAGCCAGTTTGCAAAATTATGTTCGAATATCAGATGGATCCCTTCCAACGGTTAGTCTCATGTTTATTGTTAATCTATGGACTTTGCATTGTTGTCATATATATGAAGAACTTAAAGAAGCATTAACGATATTTTGTCTACTACCGCCTTGAACAACAGGTAGAATCTGTCTGAAGTCTCCTCCAAAAACAATCGCTTTCCCTCCAAATGGAATTTTTGAGTTGCTAGACTTATCAAACTTACATACATCTTTCAGAGCTCGATCTAAAGCTTCAAATGCATGCTTGTGGACCATAGGTGCTTCATCCCAGATAATCAATGAGCTTTTTCTTACTAATCTGCCGAGTTCACTATCAGGCGGTATCTTACAAACAGAATCCTCCGTAAGATTCAACGGAATTATAAATCGAGAGTGTGCTGTCCTACCTCCAGGCAATAATAACGATGCAATACCACTTGAAGCAACATTTAAAACTATATCACCATTACATCTAATTGTTGCAGATATTGTCTTCCAAAGAAAGGTTTTGCTCGTTCCACCATATCCATACACAAAAAACAGCTCCTTTCTTATCATTGACTGTAGTCATGATATCAAGAAAAATATTGCGTTGCTCGTTTGTTAATGCATGAAACATACTATCAAACTCTTTCTTTAAAATCGGTATGTCATAGTCTAGCTCCTCCGTGATAAGGCGATTTGTTGAAGAAGAAACTGTATCAGAATCAGGGTAAGACATTTGTTTATAATTTTTAAGACTGGTGTTGTTACGAAGTAAAATCTGTTCGATCTCGAACAAAGTAAGGTTTTTAAGTTGATCCTCATTGAGTGATAAACCTGTAAAAAATGAACATTATGTCAAAAAGAATATAATATTAAACAGTTTAATGGTAATAAAAAAAATTGTACCCTGCATATTGAAAATATATAATATCCGTTTTTACAAATAATGATAGAAAATTATAATACCTGGAGACTTTAATCTACGTTGTTGGTTGTAAAGAATACCATCCGACAAGTGTTGCCATGTATTTTCCCAAACAAACTTTGGTCTACCCAAACTGTTAGACATTAACATCGTAGCAAATAAGAAACACAGATAAAAACCAGTTCCTGAATGACTTGCTTCCTTAATTGCATCAACGTATTCTTTGTCGTCATCTAAGAGGCCCAAAGCATAAGATGCATCTCGAAAAGTAGGAAACTCTTCACCATTTACCGTACGAATTTCTTCAAATGATTTTGGACCTTTCACTTCATTTAAAAGAATCCGTAAGAAGTAGACTTCGCCAAGTTTAGGTGAAACAGAGTGAATCCTTCCTATTGAACGTCCAATTTTCCTTGGCTTCCACAACCTATCATTAGGTTTCCAAACAAACTTTGTTGGAAATTCAACATATGTAAGTTTTCGTGCATCTTTATTAATTTTATTACATTCCATCCAAGATGTGAACATAGAAACAACAACTGAAGGTTGTTCAAGAACATCGTCAATATCATCGTCTGCAACATATATGACTTGTTGTTGATCAGGAAGATGAAAAGGTAGTCGCATCACAGAAGGATATCGGTAATGAACATCATATTTAAATATTCGCCATGATACTTCACATGCATATATATATATAATATATATATATAATATATATATATATATATATATATACACACACACACACACACACACAATCATAATAATCTTTTATTTCATCCACAACCTTTTCTTGATGAGAAGCAGTGTTGATGTCAACAACAATTGTAGCTCTATCTGGACCTTTGTTTATATATTTAAACAGATACTTTATGGAAGATCTCTGATTGCACCATTCAACATTAATGTGTGTCTAATATCTTTTCAACATATATTTGTTGTATGGAACAACATTTCTGTTGTCTAACTTAACACCTGATTTTTCGACAAAATATCCATTGTTTCTTCTCATATATAAGGGATAACCATTGACATCAACTGAAGAATGATTATAGAATTGCTTTGGAAATTTTTTCGAACATTGCTTGTCAACCATGCATGGGCAATTCATATTTTCAGCTCCACAAGGACCATGTATCATGAATTCACTTACAAGTGAATACAACTCTGGATCTTCATTGATATTTGGAATCTCAGCGGAAATAATCGGATCAATATATTCAACAGCAGGCCGCTTGGAGTCAGCATGCATAAATAGACAAATATGACTATGTGGCAAACCTCTTTTTTGAAATTCCATTGTATAGACCACTACAAATTATTTTTACAAATAAGATATGATTTGTACTGGATGAAATATGTTTGAAAATAATAAAAAAATATTAAGAAACGAGAAAATCATTATAAAATTTTTTTGTATTAAACAACAATTTTGAATACCTGCTTGAACGATGCCGAAAATTTTATTTTCCCGTATGTCTTTAATAAAAGCATCAAGCTTTATTTTGAATAACCTACATAAGATATCATGTCTATCTTCTGGATGCAGTGAAGTGTTATGAAGAAACCTTTTAACTTCAGGCAATTTTGGATTACATGTAAAGGTTATGAAGAAATTAGGATATCCAAACCATTTACATAAGGACATGGCGTCAAGGTAGTTTTGCATCATATAACGTGCACCGCCAGTGAATGAAGAAGGTAAGATAACACGTTGTCCGACGTTGGATATATCTTTATTCCCGAGGTCTTGTTGATTACGTAAATTCTCATAAGACTCACATCTAAGAATTTGTTGTTTGCTCCTTATGAAATGTAATCTCTCGCTTTCGATCATAGTATAAGCATCTGCCAAAAACTGTTGGAACAACCTTTTTGAATTAAGAATTAGTGAAAAATATTGATCCCTGTCCTGTATTCTATAAGAAAAAAATTCTCTCATTGTACAGTTGGGCCGTTTGCTGTTGCTTGAAGGTGTAATACCTCGATGTGGTATGTCAACCCTGTAACCATCATCACCATATGGAAACAGTAGTGGATACTGAAGAGGAATGTATGATGGATGTAATTCACTAATACGCCGTAGAGAACCAGATGAAGTTTGAACAACAATATCTCTATTATCAATTGAATCACCAATATCTCCAATAATTAAAGCGGCAACCTCGATGTGGTATGTCAACCCTCTAAGTTTCTGATTTGTAAATGTAGCCTATGTCGAGATTTGCTGACATCACGGGAATCAAGCTTTCCTAATGAAACAACTTCACCAATAACATCTACAAAATGATAATACAATATGTCAAAATGATGTAAAATTAAAGAATTAAATATAATATACAATCAAGAAGGGGGAAAAATTACCAATTGAGTCATTAGAGGTAGTTGTTGCTGAGATAATTCTTTCAAAAGAAACACAATAAAACCCATATGTTGTTTTGCGTTGAAAGTGTAGACGAATTCACAGTTGTTCTTCCGTGCAAGTTTAACTTGGAGGTTACATCACTTATTTTAAAACTGTATCTGTTAGGAGCGATAGTGGGGGATCGGATGTAAACAACTTGATCTTCTTTAAGTTTCGACTCAAACCTTTGAAAATCTCTTGGATAGACACTTGCTCGGATTTTAGTACACTATTAACATAGGGTAAGAATATTATATAATGTAAAACAATTGTGTTTTAATAAATATAAATTGGTCAACAATGAAGATGTTATTCAACCATGAACGATTTTGAATAATATTATTGGAAAGAGCAAATAAACAAAACAATGATTTTGAATAATGCTTTTGGAATAACAGATTTTACCATTTCATCCATCAATATCATCTCAATTGATTTGACAATAGTGGGGTTAACATCTGAAATTGATCTCCATAGCCGGATGATAGACACTTTTAGTGTGTAATCATCCTTCATATTGTCCAATTCTTTAATCAAAGTGATGTTTCTATCTGCCATTGTCACTATAACAGAAAAACAGATATACAATAATAAGAAAAACAATGGAAGAAAATTACCATTATACAATAAAGTATAAGAACAAAATCAATAATGCAATAAAGTATATTCAAACATTCAAACAAAGAAAACAAAACTGAAAGACACATAAAAACACAAACTATATACCCATGTACAGAAAATTACCATTATGTCCATGGACTATTAAAATAAACCATTTTCAATTAATAAAACACATAAAATACAAACAATTTACAATGATTCAACCAACAGTTTAGCTAGAAAAAGATTATTCAATGGTGCATGCATGTTGTATAATATTGATTGATATCATGAATAGACTACGTCCAATTGAGGTAGTGGCAAACTGCACCATTGCTTTGTATATGGAAAATTAATTTATTTCCAAAAAAATAACATCTTTTGGAACGTATATTTTTAATTTTAATTTTTAAATGATAACTGGCTAATTTGACTCAATTTGTTAACATTATTATTAATATTATTTTCATGTTACCGTGAGCTTTGCTAGAAGTGGTGGACGTGGAGGTCAAAATGTCAACAAAGGTTCCACTTCTTATAACTCTTTCAACAACATTGCATATACAGTATTTGACTTTACTACTTACTCTCACATATTAAACTTTTTTATTCTTCTTCTTCTTATTATTCTTCTTGTTATACCCAGATTACCCTCCACCACTTCAATTACTTTGTTTACAGTAAATACCAAAGTTGATATGAGGTTTAATTCTAAGGCAACACATTGGTTAAGTTAGAGGGTGAGAGATAAAATTCTACAAATGGCATGCTTAAAGTATTAAAAAAAATAAAAAAATAAAAAATTCCTTTTATGTTGTTTGATCAGGAAAAGAATCGAATCAACAAATATGGGGAGCTTGTGATTTCCTCCACATAGACCAGAACAGAGAAGTTAAAATTCTATCCGATATTATGTTCTGATTATTCTCATCACAACAACAAATTTTCATTCCTAAACTCTTTTTTTATTCTCTTCAGGGGTAACATTGAGGATATTTTTTTTTTCTGTTTATACGATAGATCAATGATCATGGATGTCAAATGTATTAAACTTAATCTCATACTTAAAGTTGTTTAAATCACAATTCTTAATTACATACTAAAAAAAACACACACACACATACACATTAAGAAGCAGAAACAATTTTCGATTATGATTAACACACGCATATACAATGAGAAGCAGAAACTGATGTGTAAAAAACAACGCAGACATTAAAAAAACACAAGAAGGAACAAAAGATAAACAAACAATCTGAAAGTAGGTTTTTAATAAAGTTACCGAAAGGATTGAAGTCTGTGATTGAGTGGACGATTTTCGACTGTGATTGAGCGGACGATTTTTTACTGCGATGATTGAAAATGTTGGAAACACGATGCTGTAAAGAAACGATTGATATAATATGTTTGAAATATATATTGACCGGAATACGATCAAATTGAAAGCAATTGATAGCATACCTTATATATGAGATCGGATACCATAATAACATGCTATGAAACGGGAATGTAATGAATTTTCGAGTTAATATTTACAGCTGTAATGACAGAGTAAATGGAAAGAAAACAGGGTGTTGTATATGTTTTGATATGTAGCTGAAACAAAGAAGGAGTATAATAGGTATTTAACTTTGGAATAAGTAAGCTGTTTTCAATGGACACGTGGACTTTAGGTTTTGTTTATTACATAGGGAGATTTAACTTTTTTTTTTCGTGCATTGTTAAGCTTTAAACTTGTTTTATTGTTTAAAAAAAATACAATTTTGACCGGGTATAGTGGTTTTTGTTGGTTCCCGTCGTCTTCTCCGGCAAACATGAGTTTTCCGGCTACCTTCTCCGACCAAAAAAACCAAAAAATGAATTTTCCGGCGAAGTTTTTCTTTTATGGAAGAAGAAACCTGAGAACTCCATTTCTAATATCATTTGTTCATTGTGAGTCCAATAAATCAAAACCCATATAAAATTTTCAAGGTTACAAGAGATTTTCAAGTTCTGAAAAAGGGTTTCAATGGTTTTCAAGTTTTGAAGTTCAAACTTTTCGAGTTTAAGCTTTTTGAAATTCAATAAATCAAAATCCATATGCACACACTTAATCGAAATCGAAGCTGCATCTGAAACATAAATCGGAAAAAAACCCAAACTTGAATATGAACAAATGAAAAACAAACTTGAATATGATAACAAACCCATTTCTTGTGTTCATCGTGTGTGTATGTGTATAACCCAGAAAAGCCCTAAATCAATCGGTTTCCTTTTCCTGAAAACCCCAAAATCGGATCTAAATCGATGAGTTCTCCAAAGGAAATTGATTGCAGGTGGGTTATTGTTCTTTAAAATCCAATATGAACATGAAAAAACAAAATGAAGCTCCAAAAGAAGCTTGATTTCTGAAATCATTTAGGGTTTTTTTCGTTCTTGTTCAAAATATGAAATGAAGTTTTGAAATTTGAAAGGAATCTTGAAATCTAAAGCTCAAATCTGTTTGTGTTCATATTCTAGATCTTAGAACCCCACAAAAGACTCAAGAACACCATTAAGAAAGAGAGAGGAAGAGAGAAACAAGAAATCTGAAAAATGTATTAATAATTAATCTCGCCGGAAAATTTATTTTGGTCGGAGAAGATGACCGACAAAATCATACTTGGCCGGAAAAGACGCTGGAAAAACCCTCTATACCCGGTCATAATGATATGTTTTAAACAAAAAAACGAGTTGAAGGGTTAACAATACACGAAAAAAATCAAGTGACCAAATATGTACAAAGGGTATAGTTGGTTACCTTTACAAGTCATTATCCAAATTTTAAAATACATCTCAAGTTTCAACTTTTTTTGTATTGAAATAAAAATAAAAGTTAAAGAAACATAACAAAAAATGAAATAGATTCATATAATGGCATAAATGTACAATTTAGTTGATAACTGATGATATCATTGCACAAAGGATTTAAAAAAAAATATTAGATGTAAATGAAAAAAATACATGTTATATATCGTTAAATCCAAAATGCACCATTTCGATAGATAATGATTAGCCATCTCAGTAAATAAACAAAATTCAAGTTATTTTTTTTATTTCTTTCGTAATTTTGTGGTCATATTTGCAATTGCTTTAAATGACACTACATAGAATGATACGAGAAATACCATTGGCCGTGTCAACTTATAAGTTAGTTATTTGATAACAAAATAAACGTAATACACATCCAGTTGATTTAAAAAAATAAAAAAAAACAACAGTGAAATCTGAATTATGGATGATTGGGTTATGTTGCGAGCTGGAAATGAGACATTTTCATCATTCCACCACACAAATTCAATAATACAAAAACAATTATAATCGTTTACTTTGTAACATATTTTTTGTATATAAAATTAAAAATAAAATATACTTATTGTTTGGTATTTATCATATATTTTAGACACAACAAACTAATGATCATATACCCATTGTTTTCATAAGATTCTTCCAAGTTCGTAATCATCACAAAATAATTCAAATGATGGTTCAATCGATTGGATAATTTTATTAATTTTTAAATGAGAGTACACAATTGATCCGTATAGTTTGTTATAAGGATATGACTGAATTTTAGAGAAAAAACAAAAGATTTTATAAAAAAAAAAGTATACATTAATTTCTGTCTGTTATAATCTTCATATAAATTTTATACATTTAGAACTTTTTGTATAAAACACAATACATAAACAAAAAATATAATCTGATATATAAATCCTATTGAAAAAAATCTTAAAAAAATAATTCAAAGATTTCAGAAAATGCATGATTTTAATTTGCACAAAATTAATATAATTACTTTTTTAGTAAATTGACATATAAAATATTATGATTTTATTAGATTTACATACATTATAAGATAAATAGATTTTAATTCATGCAATGTCATCAAATAACCGGTTATGTTTATGATATTACATATTTGAATCATAAAATAATATAATATTATTATATATAAAAATCAATTCAAATATAATCGCTTAAAAATAAAAAATAAAAAGTGAATCATTCTTAATTATATACAAAAGAATTTAATTCTTATTTATTGTCTAGAAGATGTTTGTGAGAAATGTGTTCCTTTCAGTAAACTTTTGGTCCATGTTTTTTTTGGAGACGAGGATATGCAGACTTTTGACGTCGTGGTCTTTTGAAAAACAAATAGTATGAGAGAAAAAAAAAACTTTTCCAAAAAACAAACATCATCCACCATCTTCGATCAATTTTCCTCAAATTAGCTCTATACTACATATATGTGTTATCTCCGCATCTCTGTTATTTGTGTACTGCACAAACATAAAGCAAACTTACGGTAAAATAAAAAAAGAAAGGTGACAAAATATCTAGTTGCAGGTTTATGCACCCGTGAACATCGTGTAAGCACTTTTCCATAAGATGATTTTCACTTTATTTTAATTTGGAGCATTTTTTGGTGTTGATAATCGGAACCATGTGAAAATTCATGATTAATCCAATTACTTGGGTGCCGTTTGTTTTTTCGAAGCAAAAACACTTGAAATCAACGAACCACATCTACAACCTACAACCCTCTGGAGAAGAGGTGGATCATACGACTGCAACCTATAGTAAAAAGTCTGTTTGGTTTTAACGTTTACAGACTGCTGCAATAAACTAAAATTTAAATAAAGTGATTTTAGCAAAGCCTATATCAAATCAAAACATAATTTTCATGATAATAGACAAATACTGCTCAAATATGTCTATAAGGTGCTAAAAGCCAATATGATAAAGCAAATTAGCAACACAAAAATCAAATTTATTTACATAAAAATTCAAATATAACTCTTCCTTTTTTCCTTTCATCTATCAAGCTCATCTTGGACAAGTTCACATTTAAAATAAGGTCGACTTGTTTCCTATTAATTAAAAAAGTTATACATCATTTACGTGTCTACAAAAAGTTATGCAATTCCAATCACTCATATTATTATTATAATTCATCATTACTACTATTTGATAAAGTTACCAAAATTGGTATAGAAATATATACTAAAATCCTTCAAGATAACTACCATTTTTCCTATTGTACCCTTAAGTTGGCCAATCTAATTCATTCCTCAATACCTCTAATTACCTCATAACTGGTTCTCTTCTCACCATTCTCTTTCTTTTTGAGTTGTTAATCGTGTTGGAAAGAATCAGGTATCCTATTTTCACCACTTCTTTGGTATATCCAAACAGTTTTCCTGCAATTTTCGTCTACAACATATAGACATTCATTAATATCACCATTATATCTGAATAACAGAGCTCCACGTTAGCTTAGTTTTTCGAGAAAAGAATCTTGGATGATGCTTGAATCTTTAACACATAAATAGTTGAAATCGATGTCACAAAATAGACATTCATATCTGCAATCAATTCTATGAATGTGAAGCAAATCAAAAAAATCATTTAACAACAATCGATTTCACAAAATTAGCTTATCATAATCGATTTGAGAAAATCAACATATCAAAATCGATTTGACCAAAACAGTATATCCAAAAATCAACATACATGTCGATGATCAGAAAGGCTGCAGTGGTGCACCAACGAGAAATGAGAGCTATAGAGGTGCTTCGATGAAGGGCTGACACCAACGAAGGGTTGAGGCCGACAACCAGTTCATGGAGAAGGAAGAACGATGGAGCGAAGTAGAGGATGGAGCGATGCTGTGTTATTTTCGCGTGTCCATTTTTTATTAGGGTTGAGAAGTGTTTTGATGTGGTTGGTCCAATGTTGTACCAAGAAGCACACATGCATATGTTTTTTTACTTAAAAGCCTTTTAAAAAACAAACAACTTCAAAAGCCCAACTGATGCGCTTGTTTTGCACGACGAAGCGAAAAGAGGTTAGAGGAGGTTTTAAAAAAAACAAACTCTTGGTGATGACCTTGAACTTCCTTTATTTATTTATTTTTTTGATTTTTTGTGTAACCCTATCATCCCCACCGCTAACTCTACGACTTCTAGTGAACACACACATGCACACCAACTTCGATGAATATTGCGAAAATTGATGAAGGTTGTTGTTTTGGAGGCTTTAGATCTAAATAAATCCAAATTGAAATCCAAGAATATAAAATATGTGAAAATTTAAAACATACACAAAAATTAGAAAAAAAATCTACATAAACAACCTTTCGAAGATCTATTTTTTGTGGGTTTGTGTTGTATGAGTAAGATAAAGAAAAAAGAGACAGCGATAGGAGGATGTAACAATTGAAAATTAGCCTTGAGTAGACGAAGGTTGGTGTTGATTATGTTGGATGGTGTTTTGCTAAATGGGACGGTGTAAATTGCATTGGATCTCTCACTTTCTCACTCTCGATTACGATATGAATAAAGTATATTCATGAAATTATCTATTTGTTTCTCTCTATAAATATTGGGACTGTGATTTAGAGC